TTGTAAGAATAGAGACATGAAGTCAAAACTCGGAGCAACTCGCCTCACACCTTCCTGTAATTCTACTTCAAACCAACATCTCCCACATCGTATAAATTTATGATCTCTTGTAAAACATTTCCAAGTAAGAAATATTGTTTTGTTTCTGTTGTGAATATTGAAACGGTTTGTTTACTTCTAAGGCCATATATACTTTTATGTCTATGAACACCTAAGGCTAATGCGTGTTTCCTAATAACCAGGAAAACAATCTTACTTCTTACTAATCTTACTAATATTATAAATACGAAAGTTAAGATAGATGGATGGATGTTTGTTAGAGTTTGTGGCCTAAACGGCTGAAGGGTTCTCGATGGAATTTGGCACAGATATGAGACAGTCTGAAAGAACACAAAGGCTACTTGCTTTTGTTTTTTTTTATTTCCGTGCGGACGGTGTATATATCATAACTTTAAAATGCCCTTATGAAATTATCATGAAAGAAAATGAATCGTTTCAAAACCTTCGATAATGATTTTTTTTTTGTATTTTCTCTTTATATTTCTTTTTAGCTTTAGATTTATAATAAGTATAGTTATATGGCCAAGTATAATATTTGGTAGATGTTTTCTTTCTTCTCTTCTGTATAACTCTGTGTTGTATTTTAGGGTTCACCGAAAACCGGTGCTTCGGTATACTCCGCACATGCCGAGTGAATTCCTTTTCTTATTGAATAAATTAATTTCTTTCTTTGTAATATGATTCTTAATACACTTAAGCGGACAAGACGTAGGTTGATATAAGATTGATTTAATATAAGAATAAGTAAGTCGAAAAGTTTTCTATTTATAAATAACTGACCTTTTCCTGACAAATCACCCACAGTAAGTGCTAGTACGAGTATGTAATGCGTAGGTGGGTTGGTATAGGGTGGGGCCAACTTGAACACCGCTGGGGTTTTAGTGGGTATTCCGGCCACGTCTGTTCTCTTTGGCCTGCGAGTCCCACATACCCCCCTGGCAACGGGGGGATGCGTAAAGGCATTTTCCCAGCGAGAAAAAAAAGGAGGTGGGGCCAACTTACCAAAGATAATGCAGCGACGAAAGCAACACGGTGTAGGTCAATGTTGCCAATTGAGAAAAAAATCTCCAGGGATAGAGCAAAAGCTAGGTCCAGAGGCTACCGGTGCGTTCCATTGGAGATTCCGGGACTCTCAAATCGAACCTCAGGGCTACCGAGGGGGTTTTTAGTGATGATAAATCTCACATAACCCTGTATTTAATGGGTGTGTCTAATAGTTATTTTAAATTAGTAGTTCATACATATAATTTATTAGAAGGCTGTGATATACGGTGTCATTTGTCGTTACTGTAACCGTATTTCGGTTATCCATTATGATAGTTTTCTTATAAATACAGAATTTATTTCAGTTATGTTGTTCAAACAATTTACCGCCGCTCCACAATCACGTCGCATTCTAAGTGCAACTACTTAACGGAATCTAAGCATTAAGTTAGGCACGGCGCGGAATTAACATCGGAGATGTAATTAAGTGCTGCAAGGAATTTGCATCGTTTACTTCACTATGCAAATAGCGTGCGGAATTTGTTTACTATTTTTATTATATTCTGAAGGCAAAAGAAAAAGGAATTTGAGATGGACAATTACATTAGATTGGCAAATAACACTGAAACGAAAGATACCAAATCCGAAAGAATTTTAAAGTTACTTGTCTAACAAAACAAAAATGAACATACATTTGCATGAATGGATGTCTGTTACCTATTTGTAAACCGTTTTAACGAATTTCGATGAATATTTACAATGTTGTAGAACATAACCTACAAGTTTATTTTGAACGAGCTGTCACCCGCCAACTGAATTAGCGCAAATTTGAACCACTTCTTACGTCATTTTGACAGCGCGGAATTAAAAAAAGTAGCCTATAATATGCCTATCCTATGTCAGCTACCCTACAACGAAAGTCCCGGCGAAATCGGCCCAGCCGTTTCGATGATTACCCTGAACAAACGCGGCTTGCGGACAGAGAAACATTTTTTTAATGCGATTTTCGTTGTCAGCAACGTAAATATATCATCTTCCCGAAATATGGAATTTTTCTTTTGATATTACAGTCACTCAAATTTTATTATTTGCATAAATATAGATTTCCCGCGTATGAGGCAAAACCTAATTCCGTTACTGCCAATTTAGATATATTTTTTTACATTTATTAAGATAAACATTCAATGACGCAACCTACTAATAAAAATTTAAGATTAAAAAATCACTGGTAACTCTAATATTCACTGAAAAAGAAATTATTACGTTATTTAAATAAATATTAGCTGTTACTAACAATGGTAAGATTGCACCGCGGTTTATCGTCGGTTGCAAGCAAGCGCGATGTTAGCGTTTAATTTTGGACGAACGCCAAAAATAGCAACATCTTTGAAGGAATCGAGTATATGTAAACGTTTGATTGTTCGTCTAGTTAAAGTTATATATACTCTATACTAATATTATAAATAGGAAGGTTTTTATTTTTTTTATATTGATTAAAATGCGTTGGTCTAGCGAACCACAGTGGGTCTTGGCCTCCGACACGAGACAGCGCCAGCGTCGTCTGACCTACGTCATCGCCTGCCAGTCGATCGACTATAGCACGCGCAGGTCCAGCTAGTAGACTAGCTGGACCTGGACTAGTCAGTTGGTCTAGCTAGAGTAACTTAGATATGTTTTCTATTTTTATTTCACGCAGGCGAAGTCGGAAGCAACGGCTAGTTTGCTATAACTTTAACTAGCTCTGACCTGCTAGTACATTTTTTTTATATCTTAAGGTGGCAAACGAGCAAGCGGTTACCTGAATCCGCCAAAATGGCGAAGCTGCCGCTGCCCATAGTCATTCGCAATAGCGGATGCGTTGCCTACCCTTAATCGACGGAGGAAGAGACGCACATAAAGAGGACAATTTTTCTTCTCATGCGTCTCCTCCACCGTCAAATCCACGTTCACTTTCCATCCTATTTTTATGAGAAAAAGGGAGGGAAGGAAAAGGGACTAAAGTTGGGTCTTCGGCACCACACTCATCAGACGAAACGCAGAATTATTTCTACTTCACGCCTGTCTTCTGTGTGGTCGTGGTATTTCACCGGGCGAGCCGACCCAATCCTGCGAAGATGTTAAAGTAGGCTCTACCAATGTGGAACGGATTTGCGAAGGATTTCCATTTTGAATTGCCTATACCTAATGTTTGTTACTAACATAATCGTATAGGTGTGTATTAGCTAAGACGTCGTGGACTTAAACAGGGCACGTTACCGTTAGCATACTTCAAATGTCACTATTCAATTAACATAGTACATTCGATTATCGACCCCATTGGTTAAACATAAGGTTGATTTCTCCTTATAGTAAGTCTGTCCGTATTGTGCGAAGTACACACGATCTCAATATCCTGATTACAAAGCTTAGCTCTCGCAACTTGTCCAGTTTCCGATAAAGGTGACTGTCAAAGATTAAAATGTTAATCTTTAGATTATAATTTTATTTAGAGTTTAAATAAAAAGTCAGAAAATAATCGTATTGTTATTCAAATTATTATTCAATATAATATAAATTGGTATTCAAATGGTTTTATAATTTCTAGATATATCATAGAATTGATGCAAATAAGGTAATAAATGACAGTTACTTTGTAATAAAAAAATCAAGCACCACAGTAGTAGTATCGTAATAAAGCACACTAGTATCACAAGTCCTCTCCACGTATTAATTCATCTTTGATCAAAGTGAATTTGTACAGAATTAACGAGCTCGTTCGAATTATTTCATTTGATTTAACTCGTCAAGTATTTTTTGGGTTCATTATTAATGAACATTTTATTAAAATGAATTCATATTTTGCGATGTTAAATAAAACAAAAGTGCATTAATAGTTTATTGTTGTTAAATACAATACGATTTCATAAGGTAATTCATCATCATCAACAACTTGCCCTTATCTCTGCCGAGGGTCGGCACAGTATGTGTTGGTGTTGCTCTTCCATACATTTTTTATAAGTGTAGAAGAGCAGGGTGTCGTAATCCGAATCAGCCTAAAAAAACAACAAAGATGGGGTGCAAAAACAGTCGTTTATTGGTTTCTATACCAATGCGGTCGATCTTACAAAAAATGTTAAAACGCCGGATAACCGTTACAATATAACAAGCGGCTATCTGCTAAATTAGATCTTCACTACCGCAAGCAATCTAATCCAGCGACACTACTCGTGCAAGTTCCGAGTAAAACTAGTCACAAACAGCAAGCTAATATACTCAGAATCGCGTCGTAGGAACTAACTGGAGAAGACAATATTTGTTTTCCCTAATTTCGACTTAACCTAATACCATCTATTATTTGCAAGTGAAACTATTGCGCTTCAGTGAATGTTTGTTACATAAGGTAATTGACTACAATAAAGTTTTATGACTAAACTAACAATAATAAAGATAAAATTAAACAATTTGGATTAGTTTTTTTTATTAAATATACTAATATTACAAAGAGGAAATATTTATATTCTTGTATATCTTGCATTCAAAAACTACTAAGACACTTTCAAAAATTCTTTCACCATTAAGAAGCTGAGTAACATAACCTATATTTTAAAATTTCAGAAGGAAGTCGCGAATAATCTATTAAATATAATACAATATATTGCATACTAAGTATAATGTCCATAAGTATTGTATTGGCTTTACTAAGTTTCCTGTTAAACCCGAAGATTCAAATGTAATACGGGGTTATAAATCGCATTGGAAATAATCGATTTTATTAAACCATTAGGCTGTTTACATGTTACCTTTGACTTAAAATCTTCAGATTAGAAAAAGGAGCATATCACGAAAATATGTAAAATATCGTTTTGATTTTTTTACGACTTTTCGTCATAAATAAAAAACACAGTGAATGGTACACTTATATTGTAATTTGATTTAAAAAATCAGGCTTTCAACCCTTAAATGCATGATACATTTATACATATTTATTTTAAAAAAAATCCCTTGATATATGTTCAATCTACCCGTTTCAATTTAGGGTAGTTAAAAAGAAAAATCATGCATAATTGTTAAGGGTTAAGAAGCTAAATATTCACAGAAGTCCTTGTGGTTTAAATGTTTTGTATAATTCGAGTAATTGTTTGCATTTTCCGTGTGTGGGACCGTCTGTTCGTCTGCTGAGATGCGTGTCCGCGGTGTGCGCGCCCGCGCTCGCCGCGCGCACCAGCCGCCGCCACGGCATCGACCACTCCCCTCTAAGGAACTGAAAGGGCACTTTAAACCCCCTATAGCCTTACAAATAAACGCGGTATAAGGTAAACTTAAGAATAAATTGAGAATAACCAAAATTTGTACTATTTGCTTATACTCAGTTTTTTCTTAAGTTTATTTTTATAACGCGTTTATTTGTAAGGCTGTAGGGGGTTTCAAGGTTTCCCTAAGGGGACTATCAGAAGCTTTAATTTGTTCAGAACTGTTCAGTTTGAAAAGTACATGTGTAGGTTAAATTTGGTTAGTTAAAGGTTTCGACACAAAGTTAGTTAAGTCATTAAATTCTTTCTGGCAATTTTAGTTCTATTAGTTTCATGGAACTGATCAGTTAGAAATGTGTATGTGTTTTTAATTGTCAGTTGAAGTGTTCAGTTACAGCTTTAGGTCCGCAGTCAGTTCAACGCAGCGCAGTTTAAACTGTACCCATTGAGGTTTATTTAGCGTTTTTTTTTATATTAAATTAGATTTAATTGCTTTTGTATTGTTAAAAGAAAAATAAAAAACTGACCAGTTCGACTGTTTAGTTAAAACTGTCAGAGCAAACTGTATGTATTGGGCTTCATAAAACAACTAAAGAATGTACAGTTAGACGCATAAATATGTAATCATTTGCAAAATACTACAAACTAGTATTTATTAAACAATTTAACGACATTTGTACAATAAATAATAGTCAGTATACCTGATCGAATGGTCTTCGTCCGATGTGAAACATTAGGTAGAGGAGAGGCGCGGAAGCCAGTGGAATATCTACGTCACAGGACTCCCGCACACCTAGTTCGTTGTATATCCACTCTGAATGTAGTTGCAGGTGATTGTACATAACCTTCAAATACAATTAAATTCAACATTTAACACTGAAATGCACGTTTTTACTTTTATACTCTTTTCTTCTTGATACAATAGACTATTTTGAAAAAAAAAATTTTTCTTTATTTTTTCTTAATCTATGTTCAATTTACTACCCTTTTCGACTTATGGTATTTAATAAAAAAAACATATATTCAAGGGTTAAAATAACATTGTAATGTTACTTTAAATGTTGAATGGAGATGAGGAGGTTCTTGTAAATACGAAAGAGACAATAAAGCAATTATTATTAAAAACAAAAAATAACAGAATCACCTCAACATCAAAAATGTTGAATATTCCATATTTTATTATCTCAAATAAATTAAATAATAATTATCAGTTCAATTTAGGTATTGAATAAAAGAAAATATTTAATAACATACTCTAAGACTATCGCGTCCTGATGACGTCATCAATATTTGGTTAGTCAAGATGGCGGCGTCGCTGTCCCGCTCCGCGTTACTGGCGGGCACGCTACCCTGCATTTAAATAATTATAAAAACTAGCGATTACTCGCGACTTTATATGCGTAGAATATAGTAAAAAACATATAATATACTCCTATAAATCAGCTATAATACTGTAAAAGTCCTGTCAAAATCAGGTCAGCCCTTGGAGATTAGCGAGATTAAATGTAGACTTGAAAAAATATTGAATTTTTTTTCGTAATAAATAGATATAAAAACAAACCACTATTTAGTTTACTTATTAACAATTATAATTTTGTAAAATGTTTTACAAATATAAGGAAACGAGGTTGCACTAAACTTGACAACTTTGAAAGAACGTATCGTTGAAAAAAAATCCTTCAATATGCCTCGTCTATTTTTTTTTAAATGTCTGTTTATAGCCAACACTAATGCATCATGTTCACTAAAACCAACTCTAATTTTATTGTTTCGATTATCCAATTTGTATTATTATTGTTTTTACCCAAATAACGTAGAACTTATTATTAAATTATTCGCTTGTAGCCTAAAGATTTTGACGAATTATTTGTATTATTGCAAGTATCTTGTTTTTTCATTTATTGGGGGTAAAAGAACAATAGCACAAGAAAAAAAAATGCTACAATACAATTCAGAAGTAGTAAATTAAGTTTTAAATAACTACCACTTTTATATGTATTTTTCACATTACCTCTTCAAAAAACACCGCAAACTCGGGAAAATCTTCCAAACCGAACTGGTCGGATAGTTTAAAATTTCGTTTAGTTAATTCTACTATATTCTGTATTTCCTGTGTATGTTTATTATCTTCATCTATAGAGCAGATCGCCTCCGCCACCGCCAGCGCTATGGAGGACGGCGAACTGTGCGCCGCATCGAAACTCACAGAACTGGACGGATCTGGATTAAACCGGTTTTTGGTGGTAAAACTGGTGTGATCCGGTTCTAACCGGTCTATTTAAAACGATGGTTTATGATTGTAGAAGTTTATTAAATTTATAATAATATTATAAAGATGAAGGAGAGTTTTAAAGATTCTTTCACCATTAAAAGGCTACTTTTACTGCTTACACTGAGTAACAAAGGCTATAACTTTTTTAATTTCACATGGGCGAAGTGGTGAGCAACAACTAGTTATATGTGAACTAACTGTGGCTCGCTACTTCGTCCACGTGAAATTAAAATATATAGCCAAAGTTACTCAGCGATAACGTAGCTTTCTTATGGTGGAAGATTTTTTTAAAATTGGACAAGTAGTTATTGAGTTATTTCAATACATACAAAAACACAAAGATACAAATCTTTCCTCTTTATAATTTTAGTATAGATGTGGGAGAGATGGATGAGGAGACACATATAACGGAAACCTTTTTATGTGCGTCTTCTCCGTCGATTAAGGGTAGGCAATGCATCTGTAAATGCGGATGTCTATGAGCAGCGGTCGCTTCGCTTTTTCGGCGAATTATGTGGCCACTCGTTTGCCTCCTTATCGTATAAAAGAGTTTATTAAAATAAAGTAATAATTACTTGCGGTAGCGAGAGTCCTTATTCTGACATGTTTCACTTTGGCTCTGTTTTGTTTTGCGTTTAAATTATGCGCTTCGCCGTTACCAACTGAAACAATTTTTATTAATTTTTTTCCAATAGATGGCGCTATTTTACATTATTTCAATTCCAAATATCTTAAATATCGAAATATGATTTTACTAATAGAAATATAAACGAAACTGTTACCAAAAGGGCATTTCGGATCTTAAAGAAGTCACACATTTAGAACAATCTGGATGAACATACAGACTTACTAAGTATTTTTTTTTAATACTGTCGTGGATATAAGCTTGGAATCCCCTTAAAAGTCACCTGTTTTCTCTTTAACGAGTTCCTTCTTGGCCCATTTCTGCAGTTCCTCGTACAAGACGGTGAGTAACATCTGCAGCAGCACGCAGCCGCCGACTGGACTCACGTTGCCTGGCAACGAGCGCTCTATGACGTCAGCCGCTGTACTGACGCACCGCGGTACGCAGTCCAGCGACCGCGAGATGCAACTCAAACAGAGAGACATTGTCTGAAAAATACAGCTTTTATAAATAAAACAATTTTAATTACTTGCTGTTGCTCGCGACTCCGTCTACGTGAAATAAAAAAAATAATGAAAATTAGCCTAACTGACAACGTACCGTTAATGGTGAAAGAATTTTTGAAATCGGTCCATTTCTTATTATAATATTAATATAGATAAAAAATATGATGTTTAGTAAAAAAAAAATATTTTATTGCTCTTTAATTTCATGAAGAAAAAAGGTTGAAATTCGATACTTTAAACCTAAAATTTAGATCTATAATCTAACATTTCCTTAAAACATCTTTAAATTATGACTTTTAAAGCAATAGCAGGCAGTTAGGCCTTATTGTGGTAGAGCCCGCTTTAACATGTTAGCAGTGCAGGGCCGGCACGCCCCCAGTAATACCACGACCACACAGAAGACAGGCGTGAAATGGAAGCAATTCCGTGTTTCGTCTGATGAGTGTGGTGCCGGAGGCCTAATTTAAGTCCCTTTCTCTTTACCACCCTTTTCTTATAAGAGGATGGGAAGGGGAAGTGAATTTGACGGAGGAGGAGATGCATAGGAAGGGGAAATATCCTCTTTATGTTCGTCTTCTCCTCTGTCGGATAAGGGTAGGCAACGCATCTGCAATTGCGGATGTCTATGGGCAGCAGTCGCTTCGCCATTTTAGCGGATTCAGGTGGCCGCGTGCTTGTTTGCCACCTTATGATATAAAAAAAAAGTTTTATCTTCCTTACTGTAGAAATACACAAAAAGACAGAACCATTAAAATAGAATATTAATTATTGTTTTACGTATCAAACCTGATACATGGAGGCTCCACTTTGGACCGCATTCACTAATATTGGCGGCACGAACTGCAGCGAAGTGCCAACAATGGCCAATACACCGGCCAACCATGGCGGCCGCCGGTCACACCATACCTGACAATTGTACTTTTTGTACTATACCATAATAAGAGTAATAATTTATTTTTAATCCATGTAAATTAATTATTTATTACTGTATATTCAAAAACATGTTTTTTTATTTTATTTTATTTATACGTAAAAGGCAGCCAGACGGAGACAAAGTAATTTTAAAAATAATAATAATAACTCAATCCATTCAAAACGTAAACATAATAACCCTCTCGTTGCCCATATTGCAGATTAAATATCTACTCTAAAAACGCGATAGAAAAGCAAAGATATCTGTCCCAAATAGGGTTGAAGGTGGGCCATAATTAGGGCAAAATATTAACCGTCGACTATTTAAAGGACATTTTAAAGTGTTTTAAATGATAATGCCAATCTTATTGCCTATCCCACCACTGGCTGATAGAGGCTCAGATAGCTTGAAACGTCACTATCAGATAGGTAACAAAATCCGATATTCCCATCACATATTTTACATGTCGGATTGTTATCAATTTACAAGAATTGTGGGACAGGCCCTTAAAATCCAAATTCCAATAATTCTACGGATTGTAAACTGTGCTTACGAAGAGTGTATTATTTGTTTAAGAATTCGGCCATAAGTGTGACACTGTAAGGGAGATGAATATGGAAAAACTAAAGACACACAAAATTTATAGACGAGGCAAACAAAATTTTTTCACCGGTACTTTCTCTGAAAGGTAACATATCAGTTTCAAGTTCAGTGCAACCTCGTGTTTTTGAATTGACATTTAATATTGACCTATCACAAAATCATGTAAATATTATTTAACATCTATTGGCAATTAATTTAAATATAATAATATACTAAAGCTATCAATACATAGCGTCAGTGATGATTATGTGAAAATTGTCTCACTCGAAGTATCAACTATGCCTACTCTATATTTTTTAATGTCTTTGAAATAAACAAATTGAATTTCGAATCGTAAAACATACTTGACGTTTATCTAAACACGAAGCCCAGTCCCGACCAGAGAGTTCTAAAGCGTGACACAGAGTGGACTTGAGCTCGGCTCTACTGCCCACTGTGGCCAGTATGTTCGTCAGCGCCCCCACGCCACGAGCGTATTCTACATCCGCTGGAAAAATAATATCGGAGTTTTTTTTGTGGCCTATTTGGACAGAGTAAATCTTTTAATTTATTATTCCAGTTAACCTAACATAAATAAATAATCTATAAATATTCCTGAATCTTACATATTGCAAAGATTAAAATCTTACTTCATACTAATATTATAAATGTTTGGATAGATGGATGGATGGATGTTAGAGCTTGAAGCCTAAACGGCTGAACGGATTTCGATGAAATTTGGTATAGATGTAAAGGTCTGGAAGAACACATAGGCTTCTTACTTTTGTTTTTTTTTCATTCCACGCGGGCGGAGTCGCGGGCGAAAGCTAGTTATATTATAAATGGTAAAATTTGGTTGGATGGATGTTTATTAGAGTTTGTAGCCTAAACTGCTCCACGGATCTCGATAAAATTTGTCATAGATGTAGACCAGTCTGGAAGAACACAAAGGCTTCTTACTTTTTTTTGTATTCCACGCGGACGGAGTCGCGGGCGGTAACTAGTCATACAATTTCATACAAGTTTGGATGGATGGATACTTGTTATTACGTATCTAGAAATGCGCTTAACGTATCTAAATGATATTCGGCACTGATATTTTTAAATCTGGGCGAATGATGTCGCGGGCAAAACCTAGTACACAACTCACCGGTATCATCACTTTTGTGTGTACAAAATCCATCAGCGGTACACAAAAAACCGTCACATTTATTTCGTTCGTGTGAATACCAGAGTCCGTTGGCCGGCCAACGCCCGTTCTCTGTCGACATTTTACGTACACCGTGGCACAATAATAAACGTGCTATACGACATTCACGCATCATCAATACCTGAAAAGTAAATAAAAATACTGGCTGAAATAATGACTAAACTATCGCACGATAGTTATGTGATTGTCGATTGATTCGCAGCCTGAACTGTTTAGTTGCAGAACTAAAAATGGAGAAGTGTGCATATTAGCTCATAGGAATCAAACCGATATTAAACAGTCCTGCGATATTTTAGTAAGGCACGCTTTTAGAATGCAAATAAAATGACAATTCAAGTCAATTTGTTCAACGTATTGAACACATAAAAGTACAGTTAACTACTTTCGCGGTGGTGCATTTGGCGAAATCTTTTCATTCAATGAAGGGAAAATTCACATTATCTTAATAATTTTTATATATTATTTAATTGATATTGTTAGTAATTATGTAAATAAAAAAATTGTTGAAACAAATTATTGTTTGAAAATTCACATACTTTTACTAATAAAGTCCAAGATGGCTGCGGTTGAGCTAACAATACAAGCAATTCTAATGCAATCGCAGTCTTATCCGGTAGATCTTTTGTATGATTTATGTTGAAGTTTTCGAAATCGTCGAACAAATTCGGACTGACGAACGTATACCATGGACTTGGACAGTCTTTTACTATTGTTTCATTATCATTTTCTTTAAATACCTAAAATGTAAGACACATTACAATATTATTGAAGATAAAGTACGAAGAATCAAGAGACCATCATGTTATACTTATAACTATACTTCTATACTATTATAATAAATCGTTTAGGCATCTTTACCTAAGATGTCAACAATCACAGCATATTTTTAGTAGTGCTTTTTTTTAATAAAAAGCCCTACACTTACGTCACGCTTTAGACTATATATTTTCATGCCATTAAACTAAGGGGATAAATATTTTGGATCAAAATCCTAAACTGGGAAAGATACCATAAGTTGCTGCCAACATCAAGGAAGCAATTGTCACTTGTGCATTTGAATTTTGACATTTTATGCGGATGAAGCCGCACTAGAATAGCTAGTATTTTATAAGGAAAAGGAACCTTGGGCCTTCGGCGAGCCGAGCGGCCCGGGCGAGCCGACCCATTCATGTGAAGATGTTAAAGCTCTACCACTATTCAAGTAGTTCAAGTAATATTAACTTAGACATTTATTTAAACAAATAGAAAAATATATTGTTTTGGAACTATAATATACTTACTTGATATAAGTAATGCAACTCAGCGCCCCTAAATATCATACACTTGAACAATTCGCTGCACTTAGCGTGCACGTCGCGCACGTGGCGCTGCCCCGCCCCCGGCCCCGCCCCCACCCCCGCCCCCAGCCCCGCCACGTCCGCGCCGCAGCCGCCGATACAAGGCAGGAGTTGCGCCACGCACAGTAAGATGTTGAGAATGTCGTTTAACAGTAAGGGTGTTGTTGATTCTGTTGTGTTTGTCTGTATTAAGAAGATATGCTTTATTGTTCAGTGTTTAAGATTTTACTAGCTATCTATATTTATACTTCTATCCATACTAATATAATAAATCGTAAACACAAACTTCTTTGTTGCCTAAAATGTCAGCAATTACAGCATGTTTTTGAATAATTCTCTTTTTAATAAAATCATTATCATTATTTTAATAATATCATTTACTTCACGCTTTAGGCTATATACTTTCACGCCATTAAACTTAGGGGGTAAATAAATTGGATAAAACCCTAATGTGGGAACGGGACAATAGGCTACAAGCTGCCTTCACTAAGGAAGTAAGATTGCCACGGTTTGTCATCAAGTCATGTCATTTTGACATTGGTAATTGCTAAGTTGACAAATGTAAATATAAAAATAAAATTTTCATAAAGTCATGCGGATAAAGCCGCACGGGAATAGCTAAAAATCGCTGAACATTGCCTCAAGAGACACAGAGAAAGCTACTAATCGTGTGTGCTTTATAGAAAGGTATGTTAATGTTATGTTTTGTAAAATAACGTTTACAAACCTGACAATATCTGACTGTAAGAATAGTTAACGTTTCATTGAGCATTCCAGCAAATATTCTTTGGGCCATTCTCGGAGGTACAGTGTCCCATAAATCTTTTCGAATACCTGGAATAAAAACACATATAAGCTTTACTTCTATACAATTTTCTTCACTAGCTTAAAAACCACATGTTATAACGATCTAGGGAAAAATACGAATCATTACTCTTCACATATACACTTTTTAACCTATCTAGGTTACAGGCAGTGAAAAGATCACAAAAAAGACAAAATGCAAGCCCGCGTAAGTTGCAGTGATTTGCAACTAGTAGGCCCTAATGGCATTTGTAAATGGCGGAGCGAACATCTTTGCATGGAAGGCCATTTATCTAAAATACTTTATCTAAAACACCACGAAAGGATCTGATTGTACTTTCACATATATCCACAAAAAGTCCTAGCAATTCCCTTAGATTTAATTACCATTCATATAGAGCCACCATCCCTGCACAGAGGGGGTGCCTGTAGCGACGGACTGCTGCCCCTCGATAGGACGACCTCCAGCATCTTGCAGAATGTATAGTGACAGGACTCGGTTGTGAAGATCTAACACCCTCTCCCCTACAGCTTCCGACATCGCCACGTAACGTTTGTAACACGCCTTAAAAGGACATAACTAAATGGACATTTTCTTTTTTAGCGATGAACTAGCTGTAACTCGCGATTTCGCCCACGTAAAGTAATAAATAATTGAAAAATATACCCTATGATTTTTTTGAAATCAGCCCAGAAGTTTTTGATTTATTTCGATACTTACAAAAATACAATTTTTTCCTCTTTATAATATTAGTACAGATAGTAAAGATATCCAACTATAGAACATTATCTTACTTATGTTACTTCTAATATTATAAATATGAAAGTTTAGATGTATGTTTGTTACAATTTATCTCCAAAATGTCTTAATGTACCTAAATAAATTAGACATTGATGGAGAACTGTCAAAAAAGAAATGGGCTAATCAAACAGTATTTTCTTAATTGAATCGTGTGTACAAAGTCGCGGGCAAAAGCTTGTCGTTTAATAAGAATTCATAGTTAAGCATTTTTAATAAACTTAACTATGAATTCTAAGTTAAATTAATATAAAAGATTATTATAAATTGCTGTAAATATATTTACCTGCAAACGTGAATGTCTTTCAGTGTTGCCACTTTCTTCCACATGCTGGACGTAGTAGAAAAAAGTATTTTTAAGTAATGCAGCGGCTCCCAGCGTGGCTGTTAACACTGGCAGATCTGCGTGGTCGAGTGCTTCTTGTGCAAGTATATGAAGATGTTCTGGAATACATAAAAAAAATATTTAATTACATAAAAAACTTTGCAAACTTATAAATACATTAATTCATATTAATATTAAAACGAGGAAGTTTGTAGCCTAAACTGCTGAATGGATCTTAATGGAAATTTGGCACAGTCTAAAAGAAGATATAGGCTACTTTCTTTTGATTTTAACTCCACGCGGACGATGTGCCGAAAGCTAGTTTAAAATAAAATTTGGTTACCGAGTAAAAAATCACCAGCCTTCATAGCCAATTGCACAAATTTTTCTGGATCTGATGTCTTGACAACACCACCGACACGATTCTCTCCATCTATTTTAACGAACATTCCAGATCCCCGACTGAAAAACCAGTAAAGGTATATTTAAAAAAACAATTCTAATTGTGACAGAATAATACATTATAACAAGTCTGCTTTTGTGGATATCTATTGGCATCTTGTTTCGCTTTTTGGCGAATATAGGAGGCTGTGTTCTTTACCATCTATACTATTATAATAAAGCGTAAACACACACTTCTTTGTTACCTAAGATGTCAGCAATTACAGCTTATTTCTGAATAATACTTTTTAAAATAAAAAGCCCTACACTTACGTCACGCTTTAGGCTATATATTTTCACGCCATTAAGCTTAGGGGTAAATATTTTGGATAACCCTAATGTGGGAAAGAGATCATAAGTTGTTGTCAACATCAAGAAAGCAAGATTGCTAAGGTTTGTCATGTCATGTCATTATGACATTTGCTAATGAATATTTGTCAAATGTAAACAATGAAATAAAATTTTCATAATTTCATGCGGATGAAGTCGCACGGAAACAGCTAGTATAAAAAAAGGTTATATAGTAGGAATACAATTATCTTCCTCCTGATCCCACTCACATAGGGTCAGCACGCCGGCTCTTCAACCTTCAAGTAACTCTATCATCTGTTATCTGTCTTCACACCCTTCTTAATCATGTCACCTTTCATACAATACATCCACTATTTAACCAAATATATTTCAAATAAATTATTATCTGTTATTAGCAAGAACCTATTAAGAAATAAGCAAATTATGGTACTATTTAGAGAACTACTAAACAAGTAATTCTACATACTTGAATGCAATTTGAAATTCCTCTTCTAACCAAAGAACAATTTTTACAGCAGCAAATGATGCATTTCTTGGAAAATCCAACCTCCCTCCAACCACACCTTGGCATATTTTCTCCGATAAAACAGTCTGCTTTTCCTGATATTGTTAAAAACCCTTTTTAATATAGAAAAAAAAATAACTTAACAGAACTAAAGTTTGTAACATACCTGATAATATTGAAAATCTCTTTGCAACAGAATAGGAATCCTATCCATAATATTTCCATCTTCTATAACCTCCATTTTATCAAAATAAAAAAACAAAAAATAACAACAAAACTATTTAATACTTAACAAAAAAAACTTAAACAAAAGAGTGACTACAAGATCCAAAATCAATTTTATTAACAACTATTCTTGATATTTCATCTTGTAACAACTTGTGTAATGTAACACCATCATGCTTGTATATCCAATAACCTCCGTCTTTTAATACAAGGTCATAGCGTTTAGGACCAGATACAGGAGAGCTAAGCCAGATTTGCTTATTCGGGCTTTGTCTATTTATCACATAAGTACCATATTCAGAACCAAGCGCTACTGTCAACACTCCATCCTGTAATAAGATTATCTTTATTAATAAAGTAATATATTGCCTGCAACAACCATATGATTATTTTTTTAAAACAATTACTTCATGCTAGTATTATAAATGCAAAAGTTTAGATGAATAGATGGATGTATGTTTGTTAGAGTTTGTAGCCCAATGACTAAACGTAAATTTGATGAAATTTAGTATAGACGTAGAACATAATCTGGAAGAACACATAGGCTACTCACTTTTGTCTTAGTTTTAATTTCACGCGGATGGAGTCGCAAGCAAAAGGTAGTTTTTAATAAAAGTGAAAGTTTTAATGGATGGATATCGGTGAAATTTGAAACCACAGCCTTCTAATTAAGCTATTTTTCTAATTCCATGTTCAAATCATGAAAGATAGCTATAATAGTAATAAATCAAATGTTATTGAAAAAATAACTGGATACAAGTGTAGTAGATTTCGGTTGGTATATGTTACATACAATAAGACAAGTCTTTCCGCTTTACAGTATTATTATGAACATACAAAATACATTGCGAATTTTTAAATAGCATAAGGGGAATTGTGGATTCCAAAATTAATATGGCAAACACATAGACATTTCATTTTTTTCCTTTCCTTCATAGTTAATTAATAATAAGTATATCAGTGTCTCGAATCTGGATAATGGTAATACTACAACTACTGTAAGGTATAAAAACGTCTAAAATGAAATTAAAATTGTTTTGACTTTTTCACTTACACTATATGTTACATCAGCACCCTTTAAATTAGAAGATTGTTCCACAATTTCTTCAAAATAATCACACAAAGATTCCAAGGTTTCGTTACAGATTTCTTCATAAACTATTGGATCCACTATTTCTGAAGTCTGCGAACTATTAGTTGTATTTCTAAAAAATGTTCTGTTCGGAAGACAGGTGCTAGCCTTGCAGATATTTATTGGTACGCATCGATTTAATAAAACAGGGGTAAAATTATTGATCCGCCTTAGTACCAGCCAGCGGCTGGTACGAAAAATATTCCTAATCATTTTGTGAAAACTTAGTAAATTTTACCAAACTCCCAAAGGTTACATTACTGACTGACAATGACATTGACAACTAACCGCCCTCCGCCGACCACATTTGACAGTTGACTTAACGTTCAAAATCAGTTTCAGTGTTTAACAAATGTGTCTTTTACAAAGTGGCAAAAACTAGGCAACAACAGTTTTTTCACAGTATCTTTTTTTTTATATTACTTGTGTGTGTGTTACTTCTTATTTCTACAAAACGACAAAAGCGTCTTCATTCAGCATCGTTGTAAAACAGACGCCATACTCCCTCAAATAGCAGCTTTTCATTTTGTATGAGCAAAATGAAAAAGTTTAGAAGCTAAAAATAATAGTTCATTAGAGAAAATTGTTGTGATACATACGCAAAGGAAAATCTGGCATCTGACAGCGCCCTCGTCGGGTGATTAACGGATTAAACTTTTACTAAAACTGTTTCGTCTCGGAGATTACGATTGATATAGGTTTTAATGTCATCAAAGTAAATTGGAATATTAACATTGATAAACATTTTTATACAACTTGATACATGAAACGCATACGATTAAGGACACTTTCATTTATTTCAGAAAACCGATAATACCCGTCCCTTTTCTAAATGTATTGATTAAATACAACTGTATTGAGTCCCTTGGCCCTTAGCCCTACGACTTACTTAGCGACTATTGACTTATTTGAATGGGAGAAAACGAAATGAAAGCAAGATATATTAGCATCCATAGAAAAGATGGAGCAACGACCTTCGGTAAATCCACATAGGTCGATACGCTATGGAATTCTTTTTATTTGCTACGATCCGTCTCGTTTTATCTCTAAATGACAAATCGGTTCCATAAATCGTTGTTCATTTAACATATGTCTAGATGGAATTAAATTCGCAGCATCGTGGTGTCTCGCATCATGAGGTAATTTGACCATATGTAGGATTATAGGCTTCCTGTAATTCTTACAACCATTTTACTCGATGGAAATGTCTTTTATCTTCAATTCTCTCTGCATGCAAGTAGAACTAGTTTACTTTCTCTTGATTTATAAGACGTTATTTGTTCCCCTTATTTCCCTTATTCTCCGTGATTTCTTTATTATTGTCTTTCTTATTTTCTGTAGCTTCATTAGAAACAGAAACCCTGTTCTGTGGCGGTAGCATCCATGGATTAGCTTGATATGCAGGGGAGGGGACAGATATCGATTGCTCAGGGACCCTTGGTATGGGTAATAGGGAGTTGTACTGATTCCAATGCGCATTTATAAAGAACACATGCCTGTCGGCTACATCTTGTAATGGTCGGAAGTTTCCCATGTTAGGATTATCCCAAGGATCCCAAAGCTTACGGAATTGCTCCATCTGAAATAGTTAGACCAAATTACTTAATTTTACATGTAAAGTTTACGTGTCTTATAATTAAATGAATGACTTTCAATTTTGATTGATGTTCCCGTTTGTAATTCGCAGAGGTTTTCGAATTGAATAGATGATCACTGTGTATCAATTTAGTATCGGTTTAATTTAAATTCATCATCATCATCATCATCTCCCCTGCCTTATCTTACTCCCGTAGGGTCGGCGCACTGGGTTTTTGTCCTCCAAAGCTCTCTATCATCCGTCATCTCAGTCATCACTCCCTTCTTGGTCATGTCACCTTTCACGCAATCCATCCATTTCTTTCTAGCTCTACCTCTACCGATGTTCCCCTCCAAATTCATAACTAACGTACGTCTTGTTACATGCGATTCATCCCTTCTCATAACATGCCCATACCACTCTAAATGGTTTAATTTAAATTATTATTACAAAAGTAAAAATTTGATAAACATGACCTGTTCAGTAGAAGCATACAGTATTACTCTGGGTACGAGCCATCGTATGACATGATTCTCTCCTTTCACCGTAGTTAAAGTGCCCCAATAGAGGAAGTAATCTTCATAGAACATGGGCATGATGCGAGACATTGGGTAAGGTCCGATTCGAGTGTTTGTCTTTGCCTCTATGATCCTGGGGAATCCTTCTAGAATGCATTCTAAACGTTCATCAGCATTAACTCCGTACTGAAAATTATTTTAATATACTCCTCTAAGCTTGCGAGTTTCGGAAACTTAATTGTATTGTTAGTTTAATATTTTTTTCTACCTCATATTTTTACTTACTTTTATAATGTAACAAACCATAACTACGCCATCATGATGTTTCAGGGCTTCCTCTTGCGTCAGGTATTCCGATCTGAAGAAAGTTGCCTGGAAACATAATACTATATAGTCAATGTTTGTTAGAGTTTGTAGCTTAAACTACTGAATATATCTCGATGCAATTTTGCATACATGTAGAGGAAAAGACAGAAGAACACATAGCCTATTTACTTTCGCTTTTTTATCCACGCAGACTGAGTCGCCGGCCAAATCTAGTTTTAAATAAATAGGCTCAGTGATTTTGACTTTGAAACCATAAATGACAAAAGATCAGACATATTATCGTTGTCTCGACATAACACTTTAATATTGAAATTTATTCACTACACGACTGTGTACTCTGGTTTTAAGTACACGAAAGCGTTATTACATTATCCTTTATAACAAAAACGAAGAGAATAGCCTAAGATCTCTCCCTAGGCACTAATTTGTCCTTAATTACGTATTAACTCGCTTAGCTAATTAATTGAATAAATTTTCACAGTAAGCGATAAATTTTGTTTTTATTTAGCAGGGGAATAGTGTACTTGATTTTATAAAATTATCTTAATTACTCTTTGCCTACTTGTTTAGTATAATTTTATGTACATTTGCATGTCTAAACCGACATTCTAAGTTGTGAGATTTTGCTTAGCCTTAAGTTTGTTTACTTTGCTACTTACGTTTTGGGAGGTTAAGGAACTTGTAACTTAAAATGTAGTAGTTAGAAATAACAGTGATTAAGTTGTCTACACTTTTAAATAATCAAGATTTTTATCTATACTATATATATTATAATAAAGCGTAAACATACACTTCTTTGTTACCTAAGATGTCAGCAATTACAGCTTATTTCTGAATAATACTTTTTTAAATAAAAAGCCCTACACTTACGTCACGCTTTAGACTATACATTTTCACGCCATTAAACTTAGGGGGTAAATATTTTGGATAAAAACCCTAATCTGGGAAAGAGACCATAAGATGCTGCCAACATCAAGAAAGTAAGATTGCCAAGGTTTGTCATGTCATGTCACTTTGTCATTTGCTATTGATAATTTGACAAATGTAAGCAACGAAATAAAATTTCCATAATTTAATGCGGATAAAGCCGCACGAGAACAGCTAGTATTAACTAAAAATTTACATATATAGGTACTTAACGTACACTTTTCCAATAAAGTGAAATATTAATTAAATGGGTTCTGGCTCCTTACAACTAAAATCTATAAAAATCACCTGCATTTCACCGGGATGTAATCTTTTATCAACGGAATGCTCACTTCCTTTCATGAAATTAGGTCCCCAATGGAAATGTATTTGAGAAAGGACGTGTTTTTCGTATAAGGGACCTCCTTCAAGATATGGCCTCTCCGTTCTCCATTTAGCTCCAAGTAATACTGGAAATAAAGTTGACATGTTTACAGTTGATTTTAGGAAAACAATGCTGACCGTACTTGGTTGAAATATATTTTTTCTCCACGTAGTCAGTGTTTTTTTGTAAACAGTGAGAATTTCTTTTACTTTTTCATTCTTTGTTTCTCATTATTTTAATATTTATAACAGGCTGGGACGTTGTGTAAGAATGTTGAGTTAAAATACGGAAAATATCCTCCATTTTTATTACCATTTATTGCTACATTTTTTATGTAAAACATTGTTGGATAAAGGAATAATTTTGCAGTAGTACAAGTAAAACCAATTGGAAACAAGTAATCTTGCGGTAACAAATGACGCAACATCTAACATCATTTAAGGTGTTGGTTTGCAATCAGAAGGTATGTATGACAGTTGTCAAACAATGAAATCACTTTTCTCGTCCAAAATCCGCAAGATAAAAGATTTCTTTACTATTTAGTGCTTCAGTTCAGGTTAACTTTATGCACACGTGATATTATCTATATATCTATACTATTATAATAAAGCGTAAACACACACTTCTTTGTTGCCTAAGATGTCGGTAATTACTGCATATTTTTGAATAACTCTTTTTTAATAAAAAGCCCTACACTTACGTCACGCCTTAGGCTATATATTTTCACGCCATTAAACTTGGGGGTAAATATTTTGCATAAAAACCCTAATGTGGGAAAGATCATAAGTTGCTGCCAACATCAAGAAAGAAAGATTGCTAAGGTTTGTCATGTCATGCCATTTTGACATTTGTTATTGATAATTTAACAAATGCAAACAATAAAATAAAATTTTCATAATTCCATGCGGATGAAGCCGCACGGAATTATGAAAATTTTACGGGAACAGCTAGTTAGTACATAAAACTTACCAGTATAACCAGTATTCGTGAGTTTTATTTTATGTGGGTAAATGTCAAAATTGTACCACTTTAATTCAGGACATTTGTAAGGGATGGAACCTGTGATTGACACTTCAATAGGTGTGGGCAAATGCCCCTCGATTTTGCTGAAATAATAAATGTAATCAAGAGTTCCTATAGGAGGGACTTTCTCTTCAACTTCTTCTGGTGCAGCCGGAACTGAAAGCCATTACAAAATTTTATTAAGGTTTCTAATCTGAATACTCGTAATATTATAAATGCGAAAGTTTTAATGGATGGATGTTAACGAAGTAACGGCTCGTGCCAAGGCACCTGAGGGAGCCCTCCAGCTTAATTACTCATAAACGAGGTTTAGGCTAAGCGCCATCTGTAAATACATCTTCAAGGCAAACAGTGGCCATTCAGTCAAAAAAAAAGGATGGATGTTTGTTAGAGTTTGTAGACTGAACGGCTGAACGGATCTGGATGAAATTTGGCATAGGTGTAGAGCATATTCTGGAAGAACATATAGGTTACTTTCTTTTGTTTTTTTTTTTAATTTTACGCGAACGGAGTCCAATTGAAAGCTAGTTTACCACTAATTCAGATAGTTCATATTGTTGATACGGTTAGTTGCAACTGTTCAATAAAATAGTGATTTTTCACTTATTGATAATTCTGAGTAACTAGCAGTAAGTAAATTACGATTAATACCTTCTGGTTCGGGTATAGGCAGAGCAATAGGCATTATTTACTTTAAAATTTCAAACATTTCAGAATTTCAAATAAAACTGTCAAATCGACGTTTTGCTCTATTTTTCTCTATGTCTATTACTTTATGTTTATACAGATTATATAACGTTAACTGTTACATAGGATTCAAGTTTATAATTTCGCATCGTACAATTAAAAATAAGACATCACTGTAGGTGATAAAAATTAAAATACTGCAAGAGAATTTAGATGTTTTAAGAGTAATAAATTCTAAATGAATTATATTATATCTATGGAGAAAAAAAGGATACTGACAAGTAATGTATACGTCAATATTTATGCGTCAATTTTCTTGAAATTTTACAAAAATGGATTTATCGCCACGGTACGAATTTATTTAAATAACATATATTTAACAAAATATACATAATATTGATACATATAGCTATATAATAATGGATGAATTTGCAAAGAAATATATTCAACCCGATCGAGATTTACTCAACTGGGAAAAATGGGTAAAGGTGAGAGAAGACGAAACAATAGCCATTGGCCAAAGAATACAGAGGCAACCTATAGATATGGTTATGAATTTACATGAAAAATCACGCGAAAATAAAGAAATTAAATCAATATTGCAAGACGCTCAAGTAAAAGAGCCAGCAACATTTAGAGGCGAACCCTGGACTCTACCAACAAGACTCAAACAAAGATGTTACTGCGAACCTGTGTATGAAGTTTATCAAAAGCCTGAAGAGATCGGACAGCCCCGTATCATCGAACATATCGGAGTACCACAATACATTTTAGAACATGAAAAAAATGTTCATGGCGTTTCAGAACGCAACAAATGTGTGCGATTAAACAATGAATACCAGAAGTATAAGAAAAAACGAGAAGAACAGTTTAAAGAAAAAATAAAAATAATAGATCCGCATAGGTATGACTCTATCAAATCTTTTTGCTATTTCTATTTGTACGTAAAAGTCATTTTTCATGTAAAAAAAAAACATTTATTTTCAGGTCCGACATTAGTGAATTATTTGTGAAAGGCAATAGACCCAAACCACCATCAAAACCTTTGCCATCCCTGCCAGATATAAAAATAACGACAGTAGAGGAGTCCGAAGAAACTTTTAAAGTGTATAGTGTGAGAATTAATAATACGGTATTCATTAAAGAAACTGCCGAACGACATCTGACGTCAAAGCTGCTCAAGTTACAAAACGAAAAGTGGCATGAACCTTGCTCGTCGTGGTCGTATTATTTTAACGTGCCTAAATGTCGAGTGGGTAGAGCTAAACTATTTTTGCAAAATTTAGGAACGGTTACGTTAAGGTATTGCTGGAAAAAAATAAGACAACAGACTCCTTTCATTGAGGAAGAACTTATGAGTCAAGTATTTTTCTTTAACAAAAATGAAAATATTTTACCCCCTGGTCAAACTAGAGAAGTGTATTTCACGTTTGTTTCTTGCGATATCGGTATCTACAGAGAATTGTGGGAGCTAAGTTTTTGCAATGTATCATTTTTTGCAGATCTGTCCCAAAGACTTGTGATTAATTTGCAAGCAGATACTATAGAGAACACGGAGAAAATTCGTCGGAGAGTAGACATTCTGAAGGTAAGACTCAACAGAAAAGCTATTCGAAAACTCATCAGAGGTCTCTTATACAATGTTGTTATTAAAGTAACAAGCGTGGAACCACAAATATACCCCTATCAAAAATACCTCTTGGAATCTGATATATTCCTTATGAAGAATCCGGTATGTTATTACAATCAAAGCGAAGTGATGAAATTAAAGGAAATTTATTCGGAAATGCAGCCAGGTAAAGTTTGGGACTTGTCAATTGCCACATGGAGAAAGGCGATGATGAAAAAAGATTTCATTGAACGAATGCAATACTTTGGAAAATTAAAACAATCGCAAAACATATTACTGACACCTTGGCTAGAGGATGAAAATCGTAACCCAAAACACGTTGCAGTAAAACTTATTCTGTCGAAGTTAGCTGACAAATTTGACAAGGTATACGATGCTCTGAATCACAATAAGGTCAGCAATGATACAGAAGTCAAGAAAATGCCTGAGGATAAATTGTTGCAACATATGATATTCTACATTCGCATGCGAGATCACATTGGAATAGCTATAGAACATTGTGCTGGTGTGGTGAGGAGCTTGGATTTAGAGCGATGGATTCATTTTGATTTTTGTCAGTAGTTATTTTTAGCTTTGTTACTTATGTACATTAGTTTCGATAATTGTAACATTAATAAAAATGTTTAATTTATATGCAGTTTTTTGCAATCGAAAATGAAACAACGATTGACCTCAATAAAAGAGAAAGTTTATTTGTGGATGATGTAAAGTTGGTAACATTACTTATGTTACTATTATTAATTCTAAAAGTTCCTACAGATGATTAGCGTAGTGTTTCTAATTACAATATGTTAAGTTCTACTTTTTCGCTTAGTGATAATTGTGCGAGTCACTATATAGCTAGTAAATTATTAATTATATATTAATAAATCATAATTATTCCTTCTGGTTCTGTTATAGGCACCGCATTAGGCATTTCCGTACTTAGGATTTTCATACAATTCAGATTTTCAAACAAAAAAGTAATTATATAAACTTTTGCTCTGTCTATAAAATACAAAGAAATGTTACATTGACGTTAATTTTTTAAAATATTTCCAAAATCGAATATGACGTCTCGTTACGAATGTAAATAAAATATATTGAACAAGATACAACATATATAATTTTGAATATAAGTACAATAATGTATCAATATGCAGAAAAATATATTCAACCCGATCGAGATTTACTTAACTGGGAAAAATGGGTAAAGGTGAGAGAAGATGAAATATTGGCCATTGGCCAAAAAATACAGAGGCAACCTATAGACATGGTTATGAATTTACATGAAAAAGCACGAGAAAAAAATGAAATGAAATCAATATTGCAAGACGCTCAGGTGAAAAAGCCAGCAACAGTAAGAGGCGAGCCGTGGACTCTACCAGCAAGACTCAAACAAAGATGTTACTGTGAACCTGTGTATGAAGTTTATCGAAAGCCTGAAGAGATCGGACGACCCCGTATCATCGAACATATCGGAGTACCACAATACATTTTAGAACATGAAAAAAATATTCATGGCGTTTCAGAACGCAACAAATGTGTGCGATTAAACAATGAATACCAGAAGTATAAGAAAAAACGAGAAGAACAGTTTAAAGAAAACATAAAAATAATAGATCCACATAGGTATGACTCGATCAAATCTTTTTGCTACTTCTAATTGTATGTAAAAGACATTTTTCATATAACAAAGCATTTATTTCAGGTCCGTCATTAGAGAATTGTTTGTCAAAGGTAATAGACCCAAACCACCACCAAAACCTTTGCCACCCCTGCCAGAGATAAAAATAACGACTGTAGAGGAGTTTGAAGAAACGTTTACAGTATACAGTGTGAGAATTAATAATACAGTATTCATTAAAGAAACTTCCGAGCAACATCTGACGTCAGAGCTGCTCAAGTTACAAGATGAACAGTGGCATGAACCTTGCTCGTCGTGGTCGTATTATTTTAACGTGCCTAAACTTCAAGTGAGTAGAGCTAAACTCTTTTTGCTAAATTTAGGAACAGTTACGTTAAGATATTGCTGGAAGAAAATAAAAGAAAAAGCTCCTTTCATTCCGGAAGAAGTAGCGAGTCAGGTATTTTTCTTTAACAAAAATGAAGATATATTGCCCCCTGGTGAAACTAGAGAAGTTTTTTTCACATTTGTTTCAAGTGACATTGGTATCTACAGAGAATTATGGGAGCTTCATTTTTCTAATGTATCATTTTTTGCAAATCAGAACCGAAAGTTTGTGATTAACTTGCAAGCAGATACTATAGAAGACACGGAAAAAATTCGTCAGAATATAGACTTACTGAAGGTAAGAATCAACAGAAAAGCAGTTCGAAAACTCATTAGAAGTCTTTTATACAAAGCCCTCGATAAAGCAACTAGCGAGGAGCCGCAAATGTACCTATATAAAAATTACTTTATGGAATCTGAAATATTCCTTATGAAGAATCCGGTTTGTTTCTACAATCAAAGCGAAATAATGAAATTAAAGCAAGCTTATTCGGAAATGCACCCAGGTGAAGTTTGGGACTTGTCAATTGTCACATGGAGAAAGGCGATGATGAAGAAAGATTTTAATGAACGAATGCAATATCTTGGAATATCGAAACAATCACAATATGTACTACTCAAACCTTGGCAGGAAGATGACAATCTTCTTGACCTAAAGCACGCTGCAGTCAAACTTATTCTGTCAAGGTTGGCTGACCAATTTGACCAGGTATACGCTGATCTGAATCTCAATGTAGACAACAATTATGCAGAAGTGGAGGAAGAGCCTAATGATAAGTTATTGGAACGTATGATATTCTACATTCGCATGCGCGATCACCTTGGAATAGCTATAGAACATTGTACTGGTGTGGTGAGGAGCTTGGATTTAAATCGATGGATTCATTTCGATTTCTGTCAGTTGTTGTAATATTTAGTTTTATTACTTATGTAACATAAATAAAGATATGTTTTATTTGTATGCTTTTTGCAATCTAAAGTGAAAAAACTTCTACAATATCCGAACTAAATAGATAAGTTTGTCTTCTAGTTATTAAAAAACAAATGACAAAATAACTGCTTAGTTATTTTTCGTATTTATACTATGTTGATCATTGCAAGCTCTGTATCTTGGAAGTAGTGTGAAAAAAGAAAACCAAGTTTCTGTTTGTAGGATATTAGAGTTTACAAGTATATATTTTCGATTTCGAGCCTGCAATTTCGTCAAAGGCCGGCAACGCATCTGTAATTCCTCTGGTGTTGCGGATGTCCATGGGCGTCGTTGACCATCTCTGTGTTCCCGCCACAAACAGTTTTGTTCCGACTACAAGCTAGATTCACAACAAATCTTAAAGTAAAATCTTAGCGCTGCTGTAGTTTTTATATGCGTTGAATGATATTTAGATATTCTTTCGCTGCAATATTTCCCTATATTCTTGCTTACTGAGTTCTGTAAACTTATTCAGTTTACTTTTTCATATATTGGTGTTGTATACATCTATCATGTTTCTAATTAAGTAAATGTATGTAATAATAATAAAAATTCAAAGCCAACTTTAGTCGGAGATTATTTTTAGAACATCATTTAACAGAGAAGATTTTAAGTGCCTGGATTAGAAAAGCAGCGACGAGATCTTGCGTCAAAATTAACGTCGATATTACATGAAGCTTCCAACCTAATCTATTGAATAGGTTTACTTTTAATGTTTTTATTTGATACTAGCTTTCGCCCGCGATTCCATCCGTGTGGTATAAAAAAAATAGAAGCAAGTAGCCTATATGTTCTTTTAGACTATGCCATCTGTGCCAAATTTCATACAGATCTGTTCCCTCGTTTAGGCTACAAACTCTAACAAACATCCATCAATCCATCTAAACTTTCGCATTTATAACATTAGTAAGATAGTAAGATACATTCTAACTACATAAAGTTACATTCTACATTCATTCCTTCAACACAGGTTGTTAAGATGTGGAAAAAAATGGAGTAGAACTTTATTTTTTTCTTTGGAAACTTTTTAATTAATTTAAAAACACTCTTATCAAAATATATACACTGTTAAACACTGGAATACTAATCACTAGTTGTATCGTTTTAGTTATTTGTATTATATCACTTTGTGTAGTCTCAAATTCACTAATAATTTATAGTTTAGCTTTCACTTGTTTCACGTATATGACGGAATGACCTGGAGGATGTCGCTGCGTGGGCCGAACGTTTCTCTCTATCGGAATGCTGTCCGGACCCTCCAATTGCCTCAGTAGACCCAGCTGCGAAACAAACAGGCTCGTAAGGGTAAATTGATTACATGATTCATGAAGTGCCCTACGTTCATTGAATGTATTGTATTTGTTTTGTATTTTTTGCCTTCTTTGTATTGTTATTTAGAAAATATTTTATTGGATTGTGTTCTTTTGATTATTTTTATTTGAGAAGTTAGTTAAAGGAATACCTTTATTAATAACTAAAACCTCGTGAATTAATACGACCACCACGTCTTCTGACGAATTCCGTAAGTTTAGATGGATGGATGTTTGTTAGAGTTTGTTGCCTTAACGGCTGAAAGAACACATAGACTACTTACTTTTGTTTTTTTAATTCCACGTGGTTAGAGTCATAGGCAAAAGCTAGCAAAATGCATTTTATACATCTAATGATATGATCCGATTTTAGATACATTGGAGTTAACGTAATCACCATGTAAGAATAATTGCTTGAAGTTACAGACCTGTTCACTGCCAATTTGCACTGGCTTCTCGTAAATTATCCAGGTAACACATTCAGTGTAAGGAGGCGTGGTTAATGATCCTTTGTACGTGACATAGTTGCCGCTACTCAGATCCTCTCGATCCATCCAAGCGAGTGATTCTGTTTGACACATAATAAAGAAATAAATCACTATACTATTGAGTACATATCTATCTATACTAATATTATAAAGAAGATTAAGATTTTTGAATGCTTATATGTATTGAAAAAACTTAAAAACTACTGGGCCGATTTTAATAATTTCTGCACCGTTAAAAATTTTTGTTATCACTGTAACATAGGCTTTCATCAGTCTTTTTCTGCCCACTGCTGGACATATTCTTCTCCAATACCTTTCAAATAATACTTCTATGACACAATTTAAAATTTTTATTATTGTTTAATGTATATGTCACGGTAAGAGTGAATAATTGAAGATTATTAATAATTATCTATTATTAATAATAACCACATGTTTTGGTAAAAGTGAATAATCGATCGAAATTTATTACGTTTAGTAGTAATTATTAATAATTCACGAGATGTTACATTATTATATACACTAAAAGAATTATTAATAATTACTACTAAAAGTAATAAATTTCGATCGATTATTCACATTTACTAATATTAATAATAACCACATGTTTTGGTAATTATTAATAGTTTTCAATTAATCAGATTTACCGTAATATATATAAGTACAGTTATTAGTATACCTGAAGAGACATCACATGTTTGATCGCGTTTCTTAATCTTCTCTAACCCCTCGACGAATTCATCAAAGCTTGGATTAGGGGCGTCAACCACTTCCAGTAGAAAACCAACGACTGCCAGCCCATCGGGATGTGCAACTGCCGCTTCCAGAGATTGATATTTAGTATTGTAATGCACTAAATGGCATTCAGCTGCATATCTATAGAATAATATATAAAATCACTTTAATTTGTGCCTGTGAATGATGGATTTATGATCTCTACACTTTATTTATAGTTTCTGCATCTATTAACTTCATCTTGTATGCGTATTCTCGAAATTCAGGATTTAAATATTTATCCATAGCAACATAGTTTACAAGCATCTAAATCTGTATTTTTGTTATCTCATTTACGCACAAATTTAATCAGATCCGATATATTTGTGATCTTGATTGTGAACATTTCAACTACAATCAGTGTTTGTTGGCATATTTACATCAAATTTATTTAATATCTTATCTATCTTGTGTCGGAATACGTCTACTTGAATTAAAATAATGTTACACTTTGTTATTTAAAGAACCAAAAGTGATCTTTGATCGAAAGGTTTAGAGTCACTTACTCATATCATATTTTATATCGCAAATAATTTGACCGCCTCATGATTCGTATTCAATTTTTCGTACTTTGGTATCAAGAAAACAAATCACGTTATCATCAACCATCATAAAAAATATAATTTAATTATTCCTTATCACTTTAATGTAATTAATCTATTTATTACAAAAGGAACAAATATGTTGTTGCCAAGCAAAAAACATAGTAATAATGTTACGTGGTTGACTATGGCCTAGTCACCCTAACTTTAGGGTAGGCTCCGAGCCCCTCGGTGAGGACGTATAGTGAGCTTGTGATGATGGTGATGATGAAGCAAAAAACATAGTCAATAATACACTTTCAGTAGAAAATACGTGGGAAAGCTAAAAGCAGGCTCATGTCTTTGACTAAACTATTTTTTTATAATATAAGGTGGCAAATGATCAAGCGGCAACCTAAATCCACCGAAATGGAAAGCGACCACTGTACATAAACATCCGCAATTGCAGATGCGTTGCCTACCCTTCGACGGAGGAGGAGACGCACATAAAGAGGACATTTCCCCTTCCTATGCGTCTCCTCCACCGTCAAATCCACTTTACCTTATGAGGAAAGGATGGAAACAGACTAAAATTAGGCCTCCCGAATCTTTGTTGTCTAAAGTTGTTTTTAGTAATGGAGATAAAAATGAAAAAAACAAAATGAACAGAAGGTGACACTTTTAACGTATTAATTACACTTGTTGCTTCTCGTGGAAGATTATGTTTGTGTGTAAACAGTAACTGCGTCCTACACCAGTGTGACCAGGTATAAATTAAATTGTACTATAAGCTACTCTTATGAATTTTGATATATTTTTCTTTTGTAATATT